GCACCGAGCGTAAAATCTTCCCCGATATAACGATATTACAGTATCGGTACACAGATACAGTCGCGCATGCTAGCTCTCAAGAGGACGAGTCAGACTCTGATGATGATATATCAGTGATTGAACCTACGCCCCTAGGCCTGACTCCTGTGCAAGCTACTGAAGCGGTCAAAGCAATTAGAGATTTTATTATTACGTTGGATGATTCGGGCGAACGAGAGAGAGAATTCCTTTCCTCTCTTTCAGCGATGGAGGATGCGTTTTCAAGATTGCAAATAAAACAAATGAGGCAAACCAAACTTGAAGAGTACTTTAATTAATGAGCGAACAGCGAAAAATAAAAACGATTACAGTCGCAACTTCAAATGTTTAAGTTTTGTTTTGTTTCCCTTTTACGATTCGTACCACAGACTTTGTTGTGTAACCTTGATAACGTCTTAATGCTTTGCAAATTGTTTAAGGACATTGCTGCGTGCTTGAAACGCTACATTTGTGAGTCATTTGATACTCATTACGAGTTTAATTAAACAATATGTAGTAAAAAAAGTACATGTTAATTTTACCCCGATATAACGATATTTTCGGTTATTTTACGACAATATCGTTTTATCGGGAGTCTCGATATAACGATACCTCGATATAACGATCTAATTCCACTGCTCCCTTGGCATATCGTTATATCGGGGTTCCACTGTTGTTTGTTTGTTTAGTAGTTTCAAGGAATTCAATCGCTGTACTTTTAGTGTATTTACTTTTATGTAGCCTCTCTTCCTTCTATGTGCAAATCGTTTTTCCGATGGAAGGTTAGGGATAGACAACAAGAAACGTGTTTGGGCAGGGGCGTAGCCAGTAGTTTTCAAAGGGGGGTCACAGAGGCTACTCACCAGACTATATATGGTTTATAGCGCTGCTCTCTCTCGTGTATCAGCGGACTCAGTCGTATTATCGCGGCATGAAGGCCCATATTAACTAAAGACAAGAGCCGTTGACGAAAATACTTTACAAAAAAACAAATTTTAAAAAAGTGTGCTTTTCAACAATGGCTTTTACGGCCAAGATATTGTCATGGCGTTTTCGCCACCTAAATATTGTAGGTTGTTTGCTCAAAAGAAGGCCTACCAAGGGGGGGTCACGGGCACCCCAGGACCTCCCCCTAGCTACGCCCCTGTTGGGGTAGTGAGGGCTGTTCTCGTTTACCATATTCCTGTAGGCTAAAGCCCCATGAGTTATTTTTTCGAGTTTTTCAAGCAAGCAAGGCCAAGTCCGAGGTGGGTGTGGAGCGTCGGGGTGAAGTAAAAACCACGGACTTTGATCAGATCAATGAAACACGGTCCCCGGTTACTAACAAAATACAACAAAACGCATCCATATCTGACTCTGTGATTGAACTTTGACTTCTGATGTTTTCCACGTTTCTTGTCCTTCAAAGGGAATTCCATTATTTTATAAATACGGTTCTCAGTGACAATGGACTGATTGTCAGTTGTACTAAACGTCATGTTAAGCTGGTTGCTACAAGTCAGAGGATGATGAAATCCGGCTTTCAAACTTTTCCTCTACCAATCCCGGCGTAAGCACTCGAACTAAATAGAACGTTTTTAATCCACCGATAATGATCGATTAAGTTCGGTGATCGAACACAATAGAACTCTAAAAAAAAATTAGTTATTAAATCAAACCCAATCGAACTTTGATTGAGTTCGATTAGGTTCGATGGTCGAAGTTGGCATTCATTCGATTAAAAATGGGAATATAAAGAATGTTTACTTTTTATCGGATGTCCTACCACTGAGTATATTCCGGGAGTGGTTGTGGCGGATCAGTGTACAGTATGGTGTATTTTTTTGCAAGAAGAAGAACAAGAACACCCGGGAAGAACAAGACTAGTGTTGCCATATTGCAATTTTATCCTCAATCACACAGTGAATATTATGCTCCGTTAAAGACTTTTTTACTTTATAGCGCCCCTTTTAGGTTCAGACCTCCTCCATGCACTTTTGTATCTGCCACGTGGATCAGGGAAACTAAGCAGCGCTACAGTAAAACAAAGCGATCAAGCGAATTCAATAAACCCGGAACATTTATCCTTCATGATCGTAGATAATATGGTTGTTTTGTTGCTTTGTTCTTGCCTATTTTAAGTGTAGATTAGAAATATAACTCTCACGAGTTTTTTTGGTTCGACTGTGTTCGATTACCGAACTTAATCGAACCAAATCTTTCGATTGAGTTCGATTAAGTTCGATTACCGAACAGTTCAAGTGGTTACGCCGGGACCAATATCGGGAGCAAGTACAGTGCAAGACATAAATGTCGGATTGGTCGTTTTCGTGACACTAAAGAGTAAAGACTGTTTATCGGCCGCCGCCCATGCACAGACAGACGGCTGCTCCCTCATCAAAATACGCCACAATAGACAAGGGAAATGGGGTTTGAAGCGTGAAAGAAACGCGAGGGGGCGCCAAAACACCCCCTCTCCCTTCCCTTTCAAGCACCTGCCATGCGGGCTATAGACGGATTAGTTCGACTCCAGTAACTTCAGTTTGATACTGAATGCAAACAAATCCAGCTTACATAGGCTAGAATTCAAAGAAAACGAGGCGCACAAAGTAGCATCCAGCGTATGTAAGAGAAACTAAATCTGAACAGTTCTTTAAGGAGCTTGACTTGATAGAATCTTGACTTTCAGATGATGGATTTATTTTTCAAAAATTTTAGCTGGTATTTCTATAGCTTTTTTTATCTCGATGAATTTCTGTATCTTTTTCAGCTGACAGATTTTCTTGAATTAGCCATTTTTCCAGCGGATATGATCACATTCACTTATTTAATATCCTATGTCCAATCTGCACATTTTATTTATTTTTTTCCGTGGCTAAATTGTGAATTGACTCATAAGTCCCTTAAAATATTTGTGTTTAGACTTAACAGAAACTATTGGTTAAAAATTCTTTTCATTTTATTTTACAAAATGCGGAGAATCAGAGATAACTGGTAAAACTTGTTTGGCTATAATCTTCTTAGGTCGTCAGTACTAGATTGATAAAAAAAGAAAAACACGGCGAGAGGCGGTGATAAACATGGTAAACCAAAGCTTTTTTTCTGTAAAACTAACGTAAACTATGCCTCATTTTCAAAATTAATTGCGTTAATATCAAAATTTCAAAACGATTTCAAAATTGTCTAATCTTGGCTACCACACCCTAATATCCGAACAGTACGCGTCCCGAAAAATCCAGATTGTTTGAATTTTCGCGCTAGCCGGAACAAAGATTTGAAATAACTGGATTGATCTATACAGCAGCTACCTGCTGCTCTGATCTTCTTTTCAATTCCAACACTTTCCCCTAAATTCAGCGTCTTCTCTTCACGGTAGAGAAGTGGAAAGAAACGTTGCTCTTTAACTAGTGGTGGTTCATGCTGTTGCCACTTTGCCACTCGTCAACTTAAAACTACCTGGAATTTGATTCAAGAACATTCAGAAGACAATTACAAATTCTCAAGAGCTGAGAAGCGCGCTCCAAACCCCAGCGGGGGGGGGATGCTCCGGATTTCAAGTGACAGAGATGATCAAAGGATTTTTTTCGGTTTCAAATTTTCGATTTCGCGATTTGTTTGGGTAGGAAAATTTTAGCAAGTATTTATTGGGAAGCTTGATTTAAGTAGGGATTGTTTTCGGTATGCAAAACAATCTGAAGATTCATGATAGTTACATTATTTAACGCTTCCTGGAAATTTTTATGGCCCGACACGGGACTTTTTTGCTGGTTAAATTTTGGTCCAGGAGTTCTTTGGGTTTTGTTTAAAGCCCTAGGGATTTTTGAGGGTTTTGATTTTTTCCCCATTCGATCATCCCTGTCACTTGGACTCCAGAGTACCTAGAGACTGTCTACTATTTGTTTTTAAGGCAGTCCATGGATTCGCGCCAACGTATTTAAGAGAACTTGAGTCGATTAAAAGATCAGGAAATTATAATTTAAGATCCTCCTCGGATGGTTTGTTGCTTGCAACGCCAACTTATACAAGTAGGGTTACGTTAGGAGACAGATCATTCCAGGTCGCAGCTCCGGCACTTTGGAATATATTACCGCGTGAAATTCGTTCTATTACAGATCTAGGGATTTTTAAGCGCCATCTGAAAACGCACCTCTTTAGGGAAGCTTTTTATTAATTTATTAATTTTTATCACGATAATTACTAGTATTTTAACATATGTTGTATATTTTAATTTTATCATAGTATATTTTAAATAATTAGTAGTTAGATACCCTTCATTAAGTTATTATAGATAGAAATCATGTAATGCGCGGTTGATCATTTCATGGAAAGCGCGCAATATAAGAATTAAATTATTATTATTATTATGTAGAATGTGGATGAAACTAAGAAAGCATTTTTTTACATTGTAAGAAAAAAGTCTTTTTCCATTCGTATCATGAGAAGTCAGAGTCTTCTATAAGTGGTCACGTGCAAATAAGTACTTAGGCCCGGTTCAGACGCCCAACTTTTCATGAGCCGAACCTAATACATTAAATTAAGTACATGAAAAGTTCGGCGTCTGAATCAATTAGGAACGCCTGTTTCAATTTGGAAAGGCTCAGACATTCTTGCTTTCTAAGCAGTTTGACCGCAATGAGCATTTTTCTCCTTCTGAATTTAGTTCGGCTGGAATTAACAACGGCATCTGAATCAATTCAGCCGGTCCAAATAATCTGGGTCGGTCTTAATTTGAAGTAGGTTCGGCTCATGAAAAGTACAGCGTCTGAACAGGGCCTAAGACTTTGATTTAAATCGCGTTTTTCTTTGACCGAAGAATTAACACAGAAGCTGTTCGTTCATCGTTTATTCTAACTTGATAATCATATACATCGAATGAACCACAAGTATGAAAGCAACATGCTTTAAACAAAACCTTTTAGAGTTGAAAACTTAAAAATGTTGTCAAAGCACCAAAAAACAAACAAAAGAGAAGAACTTAAAAGGACCAAAATGTTTTTTTAACTTTAAGAATAATCGTCACAAACATGGGTCATATGATTTTCATAATGTTGAAGAAGAAGAGCCTCACTACTCATCTCCTCTTGGCAAATCCAACAGCTGTGGTTCTCAATAATGACTGATCGTGCATCTGTTACACCAGTGTTTCCGGTTTCTCTCTGTGTCTGCTGGTTCTCTGTAAAGCCTGTTGCCCTGACATCAACGTTTTCACTTTCTGCTCTCTTCCGTTTACAGGATTGGAAACGTTTGGAAAGACGTTTGTTTTTCTGGGAAAATTTAAGTGATCTTTCCTGAGTGTGGAATCTTTCATGCCTCCTCAGGGTTCCTGCTTGGTTAAAACACTTGCCACACTGTTTACATTCGTAAGGCTTTTCCCCAGTGTGAACTCTTTCGTGAGTCCTTAGGCTTCCTGCTTCGCTAAAACACTTGCCACAATGTTTACATTCATACGGCTTTTCCCCAGTGTGAACTCTTTCATGACTCCTAAGGTTTCCTGCTCCACTAAAACACTTACCACACTGTTTACACTCATAAGGCTTTTCCCCAGTGTGAACTCTTTCATGTTTTCTTAGGACTCCTGATCGGCTAAAACACTTGCCACACTGTTTACATGCAAAAGGCTTTTCCCCAGTGTGAACTCTTTCATGTCTCCTTAGGACTCCTGATTCACTAAAACACTTGCCACACTGTTTACATTCATAAGGCTTTTCCCTATTGTGAACTCTTTCATGTCTCCTTAGGTTTCCTGCTCCGCTAAAACACTTGCCACACTGTTTACATTCATAAGGCTTTTTCCCAGTGTGAACTCTTTCATGAGTCCTTAGGTTTCCTGCTTGGCTAAAACACTTGCCACACTGTTTACATTCATAAGGCTTTTTCCCAGTGTGAACCCTTTCATGAGTCCTTAGGTGTCCTGCTTTACTAAAACACTTGCCACAATGTTTACATTCATATGGCTTTTCCCCAGTGTGAACTCTTTCATGAGCTCTAAAGTGTCCTGTATTGTTAAAACACTTGCCACACTTCTGACACTCAAAGGACATTGAGGTTGCTCTTCTTTTAAGGTTTTACAGTTAGGATACCTTTAGAAAGATGAAAAACCATAATTAGGTAAATACACATTATTTGTTTCGTTGCCGCCAGCATAACCTTTGCGGCCTGGTGGTGAGAGGCCTGACGTGAGTAGTTTAAAGGTGGTGTCGTCAGGGACATGTGGAAAATTAGAAAACTTTTAAGACACCCGCTCATGAAAAAGTAGCTCCATACCATAGACCAGCTGATTACATACCTAAAGTTTTATGTGAACCCTTCAAACTACAGAATCCATCAACATGGGTCACTTGATTACTGTAAAATTCTGAAATAAGCACCTCCATGTATAAGTCCCTCCAAAAATAAGCACCTCAAAAAGGGCCTTTCAAAAATGTAAGCCCCGGGCTTATTTTCGGAATTTTATGGTATTTGTTGACTTTGTATTTGGATGCGAGAGTTCCCTGTGGTTTGTAAAATAACACACTTTTAAAATAATGGTGATTAAGGTTCATCATACAGCATTCATAATGACAATATAGTGGAACCTGTATTACTATAAATCATATATTAATAGGCCTTTTCATTTGAAGCATGTTTGATGGGGAGAACTTAACAGAGAGGGAGGATTATTAGAGAGGGGAGAGGGTTATTTAATTTACTGTGAAATGCATCAATAAACACAAAAAAAGAAAAGGAAGGAACAGACTGAAGTAATGGTTCCCTACTTCCTGTTTTGGACCAGGAACAAACAAACAAACAAACAACCAAACAACAGCCAGAAAATGGTATCAATAATTGATTCTTCATAATAACACTGGAATGCAAAGTGGAAACACTCAAGCATATGAAATTGGAAGATCAAAAATAAATCGCAACTTCCATACAAGATCAGTTCACATGAAGTGTTACAGTCGTGATTTATTTATCCCTTTAAGTCCCAGGAGTGATCAACATCAATTTTCCCCAAACAACATCAGTATATAATCAAGTAGAAAGGTTATGATAATTAATAAAACGATCACTTCAAGGAAATATGTCAACGGGCAAGGGCCAATTCCAAAACACAACACGTTCACGATCACAAATGTTTTTACCATTAACGATCCATAAAAGTAAATTCCTAGAAAGAGCGAAAAAATAATAGTTACAATACAGAAAAACTACTTTAAGGCAACTGCAAAATGAAATTAATGAAAAACGATGAAAACGAAGCTGCTTACCAAATGCTGAGGATGACAGGGTTGGTGGTCAGGGCCTCCGAGGAAAAAAATCTGCTTCCACTAATGCTGTTACACTAATAGACACGTAAACTGGTAAAAAAAGGTGAGATAACAAACTATAACGAAATTTACATACAGCACGTAACAAAGGGGCGTAATTAACAAAATACTGGAGAGCGAAAAGAAAAAGAATACACGATAACAAGTAAGTGAGAAAATGAAAAACAAAAGGAAAAAAAAATTTGCCCCAACAATATGCTTTGATCTTTAAACAAATTCTCTCAACCAATTTATCAAGAATTGTATGGAGGCCAGTGTGGAGAATTTCCACGTTGATCTTGAAGCTTAAAGGGTTATAGCATCTATCATTCATTTATTTGGTCTAAAGAGTAACAGGGATTATTCTAGGAATTGGCTTATTCTCTTACTCTTGGTAAGAGTCCAGTGGTTACCCTTGTTGTTATTCTGTAGGTGGCCTTTTTTTCAAGAAAGAGGGGTGTATATATCAGCTAAAATAGTGAATATGATTTCAAGTCACACTTAAAAAGAATAAATAATACCAATTTTTTAAAAAAACTGATTTTGGTCCTTATATAGATTAGTTTAACGGACACGGTCAGCTATGGAACCACTGGTTTTGCCAGTTTGAAATGCATTTATCTCAACCCAAATCAAATTTAGAACTGCTATAACTAGCAGTAACCAATGGTTTACATTTACCTTAAAGCAAGGTTGCTGGCTAAGAGAATTTTTGGGAGCCCTTCAGGCTCCTCAAATAAAAAGCTACATTTCTAGGGGCCCATTAAAAAAGACAGTAACTTTATTAATGTGTCACACTTCTAGCTCACGACAAATGGTGCACTAATCTGTTGATCGATAACCTTGAAATTTATTATTTATCAAACTCATGGGCACAAATAGTAGCATACAGTAGTAAAGGATCAACTAACATTCAAGGGCCAATCTCCTTTTTCCTGTACTAGAGATATTATTTGCTTTATTGTACTTCAAGAATGGACCCGTACAGCCAGTGTACCTAAACCTAGTTTTAATTAGTTCACTACAATGACCATATTGATAGTGTCTGCATCTAAAGTTGACAATCTTGACCACTTCCTTGAAACTTGATTCTCTCTCCTTGAAACGCAGACAATTTGGTCTCATTACACAACGCTAATGAGCATTGCGTGATGAGATGAACACAGAAGAATACTTCAAACTCCAACAAATTGAGTTTCAAAACGCAAAAATCAAGACCTGAGTTTCGAGAAACAAGCATTTTTTATATTCACCACTTGAAAGGATTTTGAAAGGATTTTTGAGACACGCAAAAACAGTAAACGGTTAAGTCAAGAGCACTTGCATGTACAAGTGCATATGCAAAGTTAATAAAAAAGGACCACCGAAAGGTTTTTTATCTTAAAGTTTGGAAAATTGACTCAGTATTTTTGTATGAAGTCTAACTTTTGAACAATCAAAACTGTTTCTATACTTTATTTACACGCTTTACACCAGCCGGTGTCAAGGCTACTGCCTAATGGGGGCCTGGTCGCCACAGGCTCCTACAATTTACCTATGGGTGACCAAAATTTTAATCAAGGAGCCTGAATGGGGGCATAAAAATCATGATTCTCAGGATGACTTCCGTTAAATGAACAACAAAATTCCCCGCTCATTCTGCACTTTGGAGACAAAAACAGAAAACATTAAATTTTGGTTGTCAGCCATAGGAAAAAAATATTTCTGCCAATAAAAGGTAAACAAACGAGCACTTGTCTTGCTACAGTGTAGTTGAAGTTTCTTGTCTCAAAATGGAGTCAAATGAATTTAACAGTCTTACAAAAACCATCAATAATAAAATCAACACCTTTTCCCCAGCATTAGAAATGTTAGGTCACTATTGCATGTAGTAAAATGATACAAAGTCGTGATGCATGGAAAAGCAAGAGAAAAAAAGGAACATTTGCGCATAAATCATATTCAATTACGATTTTTGCATAATTAATCAACATTCAATAAACTGCTCTATTTTCCTTTTCGTTTCCTTAAGTGGAGGTAAGTGTGTATTGCTACAATCTAGAGCTACAATCGGCGACAAAATTACAATGTAGTTGAGACACTTTGCCCTAAAGCCGATGCTTTACTGACTTCTAAACGGGAAATAAAGCTTTCCCTCCCCCATCCCTTTCATGCAATGTTGCGCCGCTGTTCAAGCTACCTATAGTTAAAGCAACAAAAACTGCAACTTTGAATGAAGGCGAGTGGGGAGGGAGGTAGATTCTTTTCTTCTCTGTACTTATTACCCTAGTTAAGTAAAATGCCCCAATAATTTTGTTGCCGATTGTAGTTTCCTAAACCTGAAGCGAAGTCACTTGATTTGTTGTGAGATGAGATAAAAATCACTCAGGCTGGAAGGAGTGATGTTACATGTACATAGACCACTTAGAGATATATTACAGTAGAGAGTTGATCAGAAAATTACACGGAATAAAATCTGCTGTCTTGTTTAAAGTAAGAGATGCCCTTAGAATAACGAACAGTTACGCCATAGAACACTATTTTATTTTCAGTCAAAGTGCAATAATAGTCAGGTCTCTTAGTGCAAAATATAGGCCGGATCGTTACAGAAGTGACAAAAGTGTCAAATTTGGCACAGAGCTTCCTTAGCACCTGCCGAATAATACTGGAGGGGGTGCCCGTTACAAATGGTCCTAATTAAAGATAAAAGGGGGGATTAACTTTCACCTATAATATCAGATTGGGTCCCCTGTGGTGAGTACTCTTCTCATTTGATTTGGCCAAAAAACATTTGTTTCAAACTTTGAAGTTTTTAATTTGGTAATACTTAGTTGCTGTTACACTATTCAAAATAGTTTTACATGTACATAATACTGACTAGTCCCCAGTCTCCACATGGTAAGTGTGACCATGTTCACTGTGCGGCTGTCAGTGTCACTGCTAAGATTTGCCAGTGATAATATCATTACATATCAATTTAAACAGATCACAAAGCCATCTTTCAAAGATGTCATACAATAACATAAAACCCAAATGTGTCACATCCTAAACGATAGAATCGTTAAATTGACATGCCAAATGAACGACCTCATGAACCATAACTGACAACGCGCCCACTTTGTAATTGTGCAGCTAAGATTAGATTATAATTTGCTTCGTTGGTAACCCTGTCCTTGAGATAATGATTAATGATTGATGTCAACCTCGTCCTCAGGGGGAAAAGGGGGAGCAAGGGTGGCACAGTTAGTTAGTGCACAGCCTTCGGGGCGCGAGGTCCCAAGTTTGATCCCCGGTGTCAACACATCCTTATTTCAACGTCTCTCCTTTCTGTGTAGCTTTGACTCAGCTTTAAATACCCTTAAAACGGAGCATTAATGGAGAGAGGGGGTAAAAGGAGTGCACCATCGACCTCAAGTTTATCAGTTATTATTACTGTCACGAGCTATTGACGTAAAATATGGTCGCTTTACCTTTTTCTACTTTTTTATTAAGCCCTGGGATGAGACATGCCTCTCGAGGAATTTTTAACACTCTTTATTTTTTACACATTTGCATTTAAAGAGAAGTCGCGGTATGAGGTCCCTGCATGCCTAGACACCTGTAAGGAGCTCATTCACTTCAGAGCCCTCGCACCAGGATGTTAATGTTAGGTCTATACGATCTTTCAAAAAAAAGGAAGGTCAACGAGTACGTTACAATTTACAAACAAACTAACTTCAGAAGAAAAGTTACAGGAACAAGGCCTCTTTTATCCCACCAATGATACATCATTTACGAAAATGAATGTAATTTGTTTGATGCAATTAGGTGAATACACTGTGGTTACAAAATCTTACAATCATGAATTCCTCAAGAGCAATTCAGTTACCAACTTTTCACAAGATAATGTTGTTGATATATTATAGAAAATACCAAAAAAAAGCAAGGGTCAACAATAATTTAATTATGGCCTGGTCCCTTATAATAATAGAGTGGTCGTGATAAAGACTCCCATCAGCCCCAACTTTGCCCACTCAAATTAACAGATTTCTGACAAACTGCATACCGCAAAACTTTGCATTCAGTTATGCCTATGTTGCCACACTAGGAGCCTAGAGATTGGCTCCTGGTCACACCTTGTTTTTATTGCTGAATATCATTCTAAAGAGATTTACGAAATATTTCGTTAGTAGGGGTGTTTTGAACATGATTGAAATTTAGAGATGTGACAAAAACGAACCCCAAAAAAGTCACAAAACGAGACGCATGAAACAACCGCAATCTAACATTCGTGTTACACCGATGAATGGCTCCTTTGGCTGCCATTCTGACATTTTTGAAGATGGAAGTAGTATCACAACTATTCCCGGGTTAGGTATACCGTTTATTACTATTTTCACGGTTCCTGAGACTTAGGGCCTGTTAACATAAAGGTGGGGGACCCCAGGTAGGTGAGGTAACCTGCTTAGGTGGGGTAAAAAAATAACCCTCCTATACATGCAATCTTACAACCCCGCCATCCTGGGGTGCACTTTCTCAAGATTATTGAATGGTCGCTAAGCACGTAAACAAGAGAAATGCTGGCAAACCACGTCTACGCTCAGTTGCTGCTCTTGCTGCAACCTTCGGAGTTGTGGCTTTCTATTGTTACCTTTAATAATTATGTGAAGCCACCCGGCGCCAAAGTGAATTTTGCACGAATTTGATGTATCACGAATCAGACCCCGACTAGCCTGGGTTACCACACCTTGAAACGTTGACATGGGAAAATTTGACCTCGGCTGAGAGGGTTAGCCGGTGTAGCAGACCAGGCTACCCACCTTGAAGGGTCACCCCACCTATCATGTAAACGTGATCAAATTAAAATGAGAGATTATATGGACAGGCGGGTTACCCCACCTAAGTGGGTTACCATGCCTACCTGGGGTCCCCTCCTCCATGTAAACAGGCCGTAAAAGTTAGCCCGGCCCTCTTTCTACAGTTTCAGCAGTTTGAGTCAATCTTGTACCACTTGAGTCTCACTTTTACGACTTGATAAGCTGTTATTATTTTTGGACATGAGTGCTTCAGTGCCAAATGTAGAGGCTTCATGATAAACTGTGCTGTTTTTTGAAGCTTGGGCTAACTTGTTTCTTTTTTCGTTTATGAGACCAGATTCTTTTTTGTTTGTTTTTGCTTTGTAAAGCTTAGACAAACTGCGGGAATTGTAAATGATACGTCTTGAGCCATGATGCTTGCTTCTCTCTCAAAACACGCACGTGCATCCAGCAGATAAAGAGAGACTGATAGGCATCCAGGCCCATGTTAAGCTGATAAATTAATTACCTCCTCAGGAAAGAACTATTTTGGGTTCTGTCATTTCGTTATTTGCTCTTCATGAACAGCTGTCATAAATCCCTGATAATATGTGATACAACAGACTCTTTGACAATTTCTTTTTTCTGAAATTTTGTGAGTGAATCGCTATGCCATACGCTTTCTTCAGCTTAAAGTGACATGTAAGAACAAGTAATACCTGATAAATAAGGCTTAAGCCACACAATAAGGCCTGCTCTAATTGAAAGACATTAGAAAAGAAGAAGAGAACCCCAGAAGCTGAGTACTTGCAAGTTATGAAGCAAAGACGAGGCCATCTTAGAAATGACTTATGAAAATGTGGGCGGACTGTGGACTTGCTTTAAGGGCACAGTAATAATCAACTTAATTATACAATCAATAAACTAATAATGGATGGGAATGCCAGATGTTCGAGTGAAATTGTTGTTTACAACATGAGAAGAGCATTCTGAGTGATTTAAGGTATTAAATAACAATTTTCAATCAAAACACCACATGGACCCCAGCAGGTGAAATTTACAATAATTAAATCCTGTTTAGCACGCTTCAGTGGCATATTTGCATTGGGCACCCCCTCTAATATTCATGGTACTGCAATAAGCTATCGCTGTGCAAAGTTTGGTGCTTTTGTCAACTCTGTAACGATCCTGACCTTAAGAGACCTGACTATAAAGGACACTTCTATGTTCGCACATTTTAGATCAACTTCCGAAGCTTACAGGGCGTGTAAAATGATCAGAAATAAATTGGTTTATCGGCCCAGTTACGCTGCAGTCGGAATGATATGCTTGACTAAATGTCGTACGCAGTTTAAATCAAGTGATCAATGCGATCATGATGTAAATTACCTTCAAAAACCATTGCAATTGAAAGATTTCGCAAGAGGACGGCAATATCCTGTGTAACCTGTGTGACTAACGTATCCTTAATGTACTGAAAGCTTGTCTTACCTTAAGTAACAAGATATTTCCGCCTTGATTAAATCACACGAGGGAAAATGCAACCAAGAAATGGCCTGTCTGGAAGATTCACAGATTCACACATCCGCCGCCATTTTAATTTTGAATAGTGAGAGAAACCTGGGGAGAGTACGAAAACCCGCCGGTGGTCCCCCGGGGGTCCGTCGAGGATGATCGTCGGAGATCGTCGGAGATTGTGAGCTGGATGACATGGCTGGGAGGGTTAGGAGAAGAATGTGAGCTAAGGTTTTTTTGACTTGTGTGTTTGTTTGGTAGTTTCAAGGAATTCAATTGCTGTACTTTTAGTGTATTTACTTTTATGTAGCCTCTCTTCCTTCTATGTGCAAATCGTTTTTCCGATCGAAGGTTAGTGATAGACAACAAGAAACGTGTTTGGTGTAGTGAGGGCTGTTCTCGTCGGCCATATTCCTGTAGGCTACAGCCCCATGAGTTATTTTTTCGAGTTTTTCAAGCAAGCAAGGTCAAGCCCGAGGTGGGTGTGGAGAGCCGAGGTGAAGTGAAAACCACGGACCTTGATCAGATCAATGAAAAACGGTCCCCGCTTACTAACAAAATACAACAAAACACAGCCATATCTGACTCTGAGATTGAACTTTGACTTCTGGTGTTTTCCCGCGTTTCTTGTCCTTCAAAGAGAATTCCCTTATTTTATAAATACGGTTCTCAGTGACAATGGACTGATTGTCAGTTGTACTAAAAGTTATGTTAAGCTGGTTGCTACAAGTCAGAGGATGATGAAATCTGCTTTCAAACTTTTCCTCTACCAATCCCGGCGTAACCACTTGAAGTAAATCCGCGAACGTTTTTTAATCGACTTAATCGACCGATAATGTTCTATTAAGTTCGGTGATCGAACACTACAAAAAAAATAGTAATTAAATCGAACTTTGATTGAGTTCGATTAGGTTCAATGGTCGAAGTTGGCATTCATTCGATTAAAAAATAGGACGTTATAAAAAAAATTGCGCGTGTTTTCCCGAATGTTTTATTTTTTGTAGGGTGTCCTACCACTGAGTGGCGGATCAGTGCACAGTATAGTGTATTTTTTTGCAAGAAGAGGAACAAGAACACCCGGGAAGAACAAGACTAGAATCCTCAATCACACAGTGAATATTATGCTCCGTTAAAGACTTTTTTACTTTATAGCGTCCCTTTTAGGTTCAGACCTCCTCCACTTTTGTATCTGCCACGTGGACCAGGGAAACTAAGCAGCGCTACAGTAAAACAAAGCGATCAAGCGAATTCAATAAACCCGGAACATTTATTCTTCATGATCGTAGATAATCTGGTTGTTTTGTTGCTTTGTTCTTGCCTATTTTGAGTGAAGATTAGAACGTTCAAGTAAGTTCGATTACTTCGATTGAGTGCGGAAATAGAACTCTTACGAGTTTTTTTGGGTTCGACTGTGTTCGATTACCGAACTTAATCGAACCCAATCCTTCGATTGAGTTCGATTAAGTTCGATTACCGAACGGCAGTTCAAGTGGTTACGCCGGGACCAATATCGGGAGCAAGTACAGTGCAAGACATCAATGTCGGATTGGTCGTTTTCATGACACTAAAGAATAAAGACGGTTTGTCGGCCGCCGCCCATGCACAGACAGACGACTACTCCCTCATCAAAATACGCCAACATAGACAGATTAGCCTGCGTGACGAGCGTTTCAAAGGGAAGGGAAAGGGGGTCTTGATCGCGAAAGAATCGCGAGGGGGCGCCAAAACCCCCTTTCCCTTCCCTTTCAAGCGCCTGCCACGCAGGCCATAGACGGATTAGTTCGACTCCAGTAACTTCAGTTTGATACTGAATGCAGACAAATCCAGCTTACATAGGCTTGAATTAAAAAAAATAAAACGAGGCGCACGAAGTAGTATGCAGCGTATGTAAGAGAAACTAAATCTGAACAATTCTTTAAGGAGCTTGGCTTGACAGACCCTTGATGTTCGGATGATGGATTTATTTTTTAAAAATTTCAGCTGATATTTCTATAGCTTTAGTTTTATCTCGATGGATTTTTTTTTCAGCTAATTGATTTTCTCGAATTAGCCATTTTTCCAGTGGATATGATCACATTCACTTATTTAATATCCTATGTCTAATCTGTACATTTTAATTTTTTTTTTCTGTGGCTAAAGTGACGTGTGAATTCACTTATAAGTCCCTTAGTATATTTGTGTTTAGACTTAAGGTGGCTCGACTGGATTTTTTGGGGTTGATACCTCCCAACTTTGAGCATGAACTACGTCGGCATGATTAAAGATATAAAATATAACCAATTTTCCCCCCAGATTTTGTGTTTACAAGTGAGCGTCCTCATTAGTCACTGGCATTGTTTTCAAGTTTCATATGCACGTGCACATTTAGCAAAAAGATAGAATTTGCATCAAAAAGGACCCTCGGTTAAATCTCCGGGATATGCTAATTACCGGGTAAAGAGATTAATGATACATTATAACATCAGAGCAACTCTTATTGAGAGTTTCTAGGATGTTATAACCCGAGTAAGATAATTAAGTATTCCGTCCTACACGATGAGCCGCGACGTTCACCGTGTCGGCTCTCACTGCTATCTGTGACGACAAGCCAATTATTAGCATATTCCGGATATTTCTTCGGAAAGTAATCGAGAGTTCTTTTTTTATGCAAATTTACATCTTTTGAAAACAATGCCAGTTAATAATGAGGACGGTCACTTGTAAACACAAAATCTGGGCGGGAAATTGGTTATATTTGAGGCCCTATTTAAAAGTCTTCTCTATTTTCAATGTTCTTGAAACTTGCAGGGAATATTTCTTGACAATTGATCTCGGGATTGCCGAATTTATATAAAAATTTATCGAGCGGTTTTTGGAAAAATGCGAAATTTTTAGGCATGGACCAAATTACGTCCAAAAACTGTACCAAAAGCAGCTGAATGCAAGTTAATAAAATTCTTCTTACTCGCGATCGCCCAGAGCAATTCCCCTCTTTTTTTTGCATGCAGTTTTCAATGGAATCAAACCACTATGAGATGAAGCCTCGTTCCCAAAGCTTATCATTTTCTTAAAATATTAGCGAATTGTGTGGTTAGCACGCTACTTCACCGTTTTTATTATTCTTAAAACTACATTTCAAAATATTTCGAAAACGCTCTCATAGAATTTGTTCAAAGTATGCCATAATGGAGGCAATTATCGCAGGTACATACTCCCTTAAGCGATTTCTTCAAAAAACTCCTGGAACAGAGAAACACAAAGATAAATGAAAAACGTAATCGCGTTATTCCGTTGCCATGGCGACCCCTTTTTTCCATATCTTTATTCATGCCGACGTAGTTAATGCTCAAAGTTGGGAGGTATCCCCCAAAAAAAAATCCAGTCGAGCAACCTTAACAGAAACTATTGGTTAAATATTCTTTTAATTTTATTTTACAAAATGCGGAGAATCAGAGATAACTGGTAAAAGTTGTTTTGCTATAATCTTCTAAAAGGTCATCATACTAGAATGATGATGAAAAAAGAAAAACACCGCGAGAGGCGGTGATAAACATGGTAAACCAAAGCTTTTTTTTCATAAACTATGCCTCATTTTCAAAATTAATTGTGTCGAATATGAAACTTTCAAAACGATCACAAAATTGTCTAATCTTGGCTATCACACCCTAATATCCGAACAGAACGCGTCCAAAAAAATCCAGATTGTTAAAATTTTCGTGCTAGCCGGAACAAACATTTGAAATAACTGGATTGATCCATACAGCAGCTGCCTGCTGCGCTGATCTTCTTCTCAATTCCAAAACTTTTCCCTAAATTCAGCGTCTTCTCTTCACGGTGGAGAAATGGAAAGAAACGTTGCTCTTTAACTAGTGGTGGTTCATGCTGTTGCCACTTTGCCACTTCTCAACTTAAAACTATCTAGAATTTGATTAAAGAACATTCAGAAGACAATTACACATTCTTAAGTGCTGAGAAATGCGCTCTAAACCCCAGCGGGGGGCGGGAATACGGATTTCAAGTGACAGGGATGATAAAAGGATTTTTTTCGGTTTCAAATTTTCGATTTCGGGATTTGTTTTGGTAGGAAAATTTTAGCAAGTATTTATTGGGCAGCTTGATTTAAGTAGGGATTGTTTTGGGTATTCAAAACAATCTGAGGATTCATGATAGTTATATCATTTAACTCTTCCTGGAAATTTTCATGGCTCGGCACGGAATTTTTTTGCTGGTTAAATTTTGGTCCAGGAAGTTCTTTGGGTCTTGTTTTAAGCCCTAGGGATTTTGGGGGGTTTTGATTTTTTCCCCATTTGGTCATCCCTGTCACTTGAACTCCGGAGTATCACTCCCCCCGCCCCTCACTGGGCTTTAAACACACACACATTGGACAACTTTAAAATGGTGAGAAAATCCAAGCGTTTTCGCTTTTTTACGGATTTAGTTACAGTGGACCTTAAGTTTAATATACCACAATCCTTTAGCGGCATAGAACAAAGGAGGAGTATAAATAACTTTTGCCTGAACTAACGTCATTATTGATGATCGAGCAAGTTCTTGTGATCGAAAAGCAGTTTCGTTAAATGGAACAAAAATCTGAAACCAGATTGAGATACCAATCTGAACGATGCAAGTACGGTGTCGTATCGTTCACATTGCAATCTTAGATTGGTTTAGTCCTTGATGCAACGAAAAATCAAATGTTGGATCGCAAAATCCGGATTTAGATTGGTCAAAAGGAGCGCAACCCAAAACAGTAACGTATTTCAATTGTCTTCCCCTGTCCACAAGAAAACGCTTAAAGGATAGAAATACGATAGCATCCCTTACACGGCATGCGAGGCATGGTGTAACAAAAAATTTTCGTTGTTGCCGTGCGAATGTTGAAATAATGAGAAAAAAAGTTCCAATTTAGCTTGAAAAGTATAATTTACGTTGTGTATAACAGATAAATTGGTGTGAAGTGGGTTTGATTTCAGCCATAGTGGTTACCAGACAAGGACTAACAAAACTTGCTAAGAGATCAAAGGCATTAAAAATCGAGTTGTAGTAGTGTCAAGCAACTTACTGGAATGCGGCACTTTATACTGTCCGACTTAATACATAGGGCCTTTCAACACCAATAAATTCTGCATGTGGGCACTAATGATCTCAAAAGTAAAGAACCACAACAAGTTGCCGGCTCAGTGGTAGATCTCGCCAGACAAATTGAAAACTCATCCGATGCCACAGTAATTATATCTGAGCTCGTGCAAAGAAGAGACGGATTCAATGAAGCCGTGAAAACAGTTAATAAACAACTGAAGTTCTACTGCCGGCAAAATGGACGGAAATTTATCCAGCATCAAAACATCTCCGAAAAGGAACTTAACAAGGGCGGACTACATCTTAATTTTACAGGTAATCAACAGTTTTTTAAGAACTTTCAGATGAGTTTAGGTTGAAATGATGCGCTATCCACCGATGCCGTGCCTATTCAATGTACAAAACGCAATACTGAGGAATCTCATGAGCCTACCTCAGTGTTGCCATCTCAACGAGGTTTTAAATTAGCCTCTTTAAATATCAATAAATTAATCACACACATTGATCAACTTAGAATTCTTCTAGCGCATAACGAAATAGATATTTTATCGATTAATGAAACTAAGCTCAATGAAACTATTAGCGACAATGAGGTCAACATCTCTGGCTATGATATAATTCGACTTGATAGGATTACAAACGGTGGAGGAGGAGCGTGTTTCTATGTGAAAAGTTCAATAAATTTTACCATACGAAATGATTTAAACATGGACACTCTTGAAAATCTATGTCTGGAAATTCAAAAAACTAGATCTAAACCGTTTGTTGTTGCCACGTGGTATAGACCACCTGATTCTCCTGTTGGTATTTTTTCACCTTTCGAAACTTTAATTGGGAAACTCGATTCCGAAAATATTGAATATTTTCTAATGGGAGACCTTAACTGCGACATGATTGCTACTCGATATGACAATAATACATGCAAATTAATGAGTATCACTGATATTTATGGTCTACAGCAACTTATCACTGAACCAACCAGAATAACTCCGACTTCTGCAACTTTGATTGATGTAATCTATACTAATTGTCCAGATAAAGTTGTGTGTTCGGGAGTTCGTCATATCAGTATTAGCGATCATAGCATAGTTTTTGCCTATCGAAAATTATCCGTGAATGGAATGTCTGGTGGGCACAATACTATAATCTACAGAAACTTTCGAAAATTTAATCGAATAAATTTTCGGAATGATATTGCATCTCATTGTTGGGATCACATATACAATTCAACTGATCCCAATGAAATGTGGCTACAATGGAAATGCTCGTTTCTATCTATTGTTAACAAGCATGCTCCCTTGAGGACAATGCGTGTTCGCACGCGTAGTTCCCCATGGATTACATCTGAGCTTAAGAAACGAATGCATGATCGGGATATTCTAAAGATTAAAGCAAGTAAATCGAATGATTCAAATGACTGGTCACTTTTTAAAAAACAACGCAATATAGTAAATAGCGAAATCAGATTAGCCAAGCAAGCCTATTATCAAAATAGTTTTAACAAGCATACGGGCGATTCTAAAAAGACCTGGCAGACTATCAATGAACTTACTTCGCGAAAATCTGGGAAAAAATCGGTGACATCTCTGAAAGTAAATGGAGTATCAATAACAAATCCAACTGTGCTGTCGAACCAATTTAATAATAACTTTGCTACTATCGGTCCAGAACTTGCTAGCAATATTGATTCCTCAAATAGTGATGGTTATCAAAAGTACCTCACTGGCACAGATAAACGGTTTCAGCTCCATCCGACCAGTGCAAATAAAGTTCTCTCACTTTTGAATCGTCTAAATAAGTCAAAGGCAGCTGGCCTTGACAAGATATCTGCTAGGCTCATTCGGGAACATGCAGATCTCATTTGCATTCCTATCCGTGATATTTTTAACCAGTCAATAAGTCAAGGCATATTTCCGGATGACTGGAAATGCGCAAAGGTCACCCCACTTTTTAAACAAGGCGATCGGGACGACTTAAACAATTATCGTCCAATTTCGATGATCTCAGTTATGGCCAAGGTCTTTGAAAGAATCTTCTATGATCAATTATATGCCTACCTAGAAGAGCAAAATATAATCTGTAAATATCAATCAGGCTTTCGCGCTATTCACTCAACTGTCACGGCTCTCCTTGAGGCCACGGACACTTGGGCGTACAATATTGACCGCGGTAAAATCAACGCCGTTGTTTTCTTAGATCTCAAAAAGGCCTTCGACACAGTTGACCATGAGATCCTTTTATCAAAATTAAGCAATTACGGCATATATGGTAACGCGCACCAATGGTTTAAGTCGTATTTAGAGAATCGTACTCAAATGTGCTCCATCAACGGATCGCTCTCTCAAAGCTGTTTATTAAGTTGTGGTGTTCCCCAGGGGACGATTTTAGGTCCATTATTATTTCTGTTATACATCAACGATCTTCCAAACTGTCTTTCAAATTGTGAGCCGAGGATGTACGCTGATGACACCCACCTTACGTACGCAGGTGATAATGCAGACAATATTCAGTTGCATCTAAATCAAGATTTAGAAAATGTTCCCAATTGGCTGAGAGCAAACAAACTTACTCTAAATGTGACTAAAACCGAATTTATGCTTATCGGATCTAGGCAGAGGCTAAGTACTCTCACAGAGTCCCCGACATTTGCAATTAATGATTTTGAAGTTAGCCAGGTCACTACTGCAAAATCACTTGGAGTGACCATCGATGACAGACTTGATTGGAGTGGCCATATCGAGAAAGTAACAAAGAAAGTCGCTTCTGGTATTGGGGCCATAAAACGAATAAGGCACCTTGTCCCTCAGGCGACCTTACAACTAATATATCAAGCTTTAATACAGCCACACTTTGATTATTGCAACATTGTTTGGGGAAACTGTGGGATAACCTTACGGAATAAGGTTCAAAAGCTACAAAACAGAGCAGCCCGTGTTTTGACCTACTCAAGCTATGACGTAGATGCTGATCACCTTTTCAAACTTCTAGGGTGGAAAAACCTAGCTTGCCAGCAACAATTTCAAAGAGCTACGATGGTTTACAGGTCTCTGCACGGGTTGGCTCCAAACTATCTTAGTTCTAAATTTGAAAGGCGAGAAGTCGCATATAACCTAAGGGACTCTGAAAATAAACTCAATGTTCCATTACCGCGCACAAACTATTACAAAAACAGCTTCAGCTATAGTGGCGCCATTCTCTGGAACAGTCTTCCTTGTAACTTAAGGGAAGCAGAGTCCCTTGGGCAATTTAAACGACTACTCAAAGAACTGTAAGGCACGGCATTCGTGGAAAGCAGCTTTTTTATTTAAATATTTTTATTATATTAGTATTAGGCATTTTTAAAGCTGACGAATTTTGTACCGTGGATAAATAAAGATTATCTATCTATCTATCTATCTATCTAAATATTGTCAAAAGTCATTAATAAGTGATTGGCATTCTTTAATAGGGGTAACAGTTATTATAATAACTGGAGAGTTCCAGGAACCAAGGCCATGAGAACATCATAAATACAAGACTGTAGAATATGGATGAAAGTAAGAAAGCCCTTTTTTACATTGTAAGAAAAAAGTTTCTTTCCATTCATATCATGAGAAGTTAAAGTCTTCTGAAAGTGGTCACGTAAAAAAATTTAACGCTTAAAACTAAGAGTAGTCTGCTACAGAGCCGTTTTTAGTGTCCTCGCGCAACGCTCCTCCCACAAACCGTTTGTGGGGAGGAGCGTTGCGTGACGACACTAAAAACGGCTCTGTAGCAGACTAAACTAAGAGGCACTAAGACTTTGATTTAAACCGAGTTTTTCCCTTATGAAAGAAATAATAGAGAAGTTGTCCCTTCATCGTTAATTCCAGCTAGATAATCATTCACATCGAATGAACATTATGATAGCAACATGCGTTAAACAAAACCAATTGAAATTTTAAAAGTTGCAAAAATAAAAAATGTTGTCAAAGCACCAAAAAAAACAAACAAACAAAAGAGAGGAACTAAAAAGGACCAAATCTCTTTTTTTAACTTGAACAATAATCGTCACAAACATGCCTCATATGATTTTCATAATGTTGAAGAAGAAGAGCCTCACTACTCATCTCCTCTTGACAAATCCAACAGCTGTGTTTTTCAATGATGACCGATCGTGCATCGGTTACACCATTTTTTCTGGTTCCTCTCTGTGTCTGCTGGTTCTCTGTAAAGCCTGTTGCCCTGACATCAACGTTTTCACTTCCTGCTCTCTTTCGTGTACAGGATTCCAATCGTTTGGACAGACGTTTGTTTTTCTGGGAAAATTTAAGTAATCTGCCCTGAGAGTGGAATCTTTCATGTTTCCTCAGGTTTCCTGCTTGGTTAAAACACTTTCCACACTGTTTACATGCATATGGCTTTTCCCCAGTGTGAACTCTTTCATGAGTCCTTAGGTGTCCTGCTTCCCTAAAACACTTGCCACACTGTTTACATTCATAAGGCTTTTCCCCAGTGTGAACTCTTTCATGAGTCCTTAGGCGTTCTGCTTGGCTGAAACACTTGCCACAATGTTTACATTCATATGGCGTTTCCCCAGTGTGAACTCTTTCATGACTCTTTAGATTTCCTGCTTCCCTAAAACACTTGCCACACTGTTTACATTCATAAGGCTTTTCCCCAGTGTGAACTCTTTCATGAATCCTTAGGCGTCCTGCTTGGCTGAAACACTTGCCACACCGTTTACATTCATAAGGCTTTTCCCCAGTGTGAACTCTTTCATGAGTCCTTAGGAGTCTTGCTTGGCTGAAACACTTCCCACACTGCTTACATTCATAAGGCTTTTCTCCAGTGTGAACACTTTCATGGCTCTTTAGGTGTCCTGCTCGGCCAAAACACTTGCCACACTGTTTACATTCATAAGGCTTTTCCTCAGTGTGAACCCTTTCATGTCTCCTTAGGTTTCCTGCTTGGCCAAAACACTTGCCACACTGTTTACATTCATAAGGCTTTTCCCCAGTGTGAACTCTTTCATGAGTCCTTAGGCTTCCTGCTTCACTAAAACACTTGCCACACTGTTTACATTCATAAGGCTTTTCCCCAGTGTGAACTCTTTCATGAGTCCTTAGGTTTCCTGCTTGGCTAAAACACTTGCCACACTGTTTACATTCACATGGCTTTTCCCCAGTGTGAACTCTTTCATGAGTCTTTAGGCTTCCTGCTTGGCTAAAACACTTGCCACACTGTTTACATTCATATGGCTTTTCCCCAGTGTGAACTCTTTCATGAGCCCTAAAGCGTGGTATATTGGTAAAACACTTGCCACACTTCTTACACTCAAGGGACATTGAGGTTGCTCTTCTTTTAAGGTTTTACAGTTAGGATACCTTTGGAAAGATGAAAAACCATAATTAGATAAATATGCAATAGTTGTTTTGTTGCTACCAGCATAACCCTTGTGGCCTGGTGGTGAGAGGCCTTAAGTGAGTAGTTTAAAGATGGTGTTGTCAGGGACAAGTGAAAAATTAGAAAACTTTTAAGACACCCACTCATGAAAAAGTGGTTCCACACCATAAACCAGCTGATTTCATACCTAAAGTTTTACATGAACCCTTCAAACTAGAGAATCCATCAACATGGGTCAGTTCATTATTTGCTGACTTCGTATTTCAATCTGAGAGTTCCTTGTGGTTTATAAAATAACACACTTTTAAAATAATGGTAATTAAGGTTCATCATACAGCATTCATACAGACAATATAGTGGAACCTGTATTACTATAAATCTGCTATTAAGCTCCATGGGGGCACTTTCATTTCAAGCATGTTTAATGAGGGAGCTTAACAGAGAGCGAGGATTATTAGAGAGGGGGGACACCTATTTAATTTACTGTAAAATGCATCAATAAACACAAAAAAGGAAGAGGAAGGAACAGACTGAAGTAATGGTTCCCTACTTCCTGTTTTGGACCAGGAACAAACAAACAAACAACCAACCAAACAGCAGCCAGAAAATGGTATCAATAATTGATTCTTCATAATAACACTGGAATGCAAAATGGAAACACTCAAGCACATGAAATTGGAAGATCAAAAATAAATCGCAACTTCCATACAAGATCAGTCCACATGAAGTGTTACAGTCGTGATTTATCTATCCCTTTAAGTCCCAGGAGTGATCAACATCAATTTTCCCCAAACAACTTCAGTATATAATCAAGTAGAAAGGTTATGAGAATTAATAAAATGATCACTTCAAGGAAATATGCTTTGATCTTTCAACAAATTCTGTCAACCAATTTTTCAAGAATTGTATGGAGGCCAGTGTGGAGAATTTCCATGTTGATCTTAAAACTTTATAGGCTATAGCATCTATTACTTATTTATTTGGTCTAAAGAGTAACAGGGTTTATTCTAGGAATTGGCTTATTCTCTTACTCTTTGTAAGAGTCCAGTGGCCACCCTTGTTGTTATTCAGTAGGTGGCCATTTTCCCACGAAAGAAGGGTGCATATATTACCTAAAAAAATGAATATGATTTCCAAGTGACACTTAAAAAGAATAAATAATAATAAACTTTTTAAAAACTGATTTTGGTCCTTATATAGATTAGTTTAAGGGACATAGTCAGCTATGGAACCACTGGTTTTGCCAGTTTGAAATGCATTTATCTCAAACCAAAATCAAATTTAGAACTGCTATAACTGGCGGTAACCAATGGTTAGGAAGTGCAAGTAAACATTTGCATTTACCTTAGAGCAAGGCTGCTGGCTAAGAGAATTATTGTGAGCCCTTCAGGCTCCTGAAATAAAAAGCTACATTTATAGGGGCCTGTTAAAAAAGACAGTAACTTTATTAATGTGTCACACTTCTAGTTCACGACAAACCGTGCACTAATCTGTTGATCGATAATCTTCAAATTTATTATTTATCAAACTCAAGGGCACAAATAGTAGCATAAAGTAGTAAAGGATCAACTAACATTCAAGGGCCAATCTCCTTTTTCCTGTACTAGAGGTATTATTTGCTTTATTGTACTTCAAGAATGGACCCCTACAGCCAGTGTACCTAAACCTAGTTTTAATTAGTTTATCAGAATGACCGTATTGATAGTGTCTGTATCTAAAGTTGACAATCTTGACCACTTCCTCAAGACTTGATTCTCTCTCCTTGAAACACAGACAACTTTGTCTCATTACACAACGCTAATGAGCATTGCGTGATGCCGTGATGAGATGAAAACCGAAGAACACTTCAAACTACAACAGATTGAGTTTTAAAACGCAAACATTGAGTCTTGAGTTTTGAGAAACAAGCATTTTTTATATTTACCACTTGAACGGATTTTGAGACACGATTTATTTCTCAAGAAAAATAAAAACAACCATTCGTAAAAACGACAAACGGTAAAGCCAAGAGCACTTGCATGTACAAGTGCATATGCAAAGTTAATAACAAAGGACCAACAAAAGGTTTACTCTGGTTATTGATCTGATTGGTCAATTACTTTGCAATGTTATTGGTCGTCTGTCAGTTAAGCTGTGACCAATCAGATCAATAACCAGAGTTTAATACCATCTACTGATGTGATACAACTCACTTTGACTCTGAAGATGACTACCACACAGGTTGTCGAAACATCCGTTACTGTCAACAACAACAGTCCTATTCAGGACTATGTTCTCCCGGATGATCAAACTCAACCTACTTTTAAAAAGTAGTTTATTTTTAATTTTGCAAGTTTGTAGTGTTTTCTATCTTGTTACGAACACGAATGGTACAATTATTAGAGGTTTATTTTATTATTTATTCCGCGTTATCTACACCTCCCTATTTTTTGCTGTATGTTTTGTGGAAACTTTTGAAAGGCTTGCAAAAACATATCAGTTTTTGAAAATCTTCATGGCTGTTGTTCAAGATCATTTAGACATAGACATAGACACTTTGTTAATCCTTTACAGCGTAATTTGTTGTATTGTGCTGCACGCTTTGCAAACTTAGAATGGATTTTGGATTTTTCTGTTCCGTCAATCATGCATTTTAGTGGAGACGAGGTTAATGCAAATCACAATGTAACGTGTTCGCCCAGGGTGGCTGAGAATGACTCCGACTGCTCAAGAATAGCGAAGGAAATCGCAATAATGAGTGGATTTTTTGTCGAAGGAAGGAGGCAGACATTGCTTTATTCTTGCAAGTGACAAGAATGAGAAAGATCATAAAAATCTGCGAAGAAAACTTAACTAGTCGATTATTGCCCAAAACAGGACGATCACAAAGCAACAGGCATTATAAGGCTTTTACTTCGGGTAGAAGAGCACAGAACGCGTCATCAGAATGGAATGGGCAAAAGAGAAACATCGTTAATTTATGACAAATGTATGCAACCGGGTAGTCGTAATAGAGACAAACATATGCATTGACATGAACGCACTACAATGTCTTGTCACGGTAGAAACGAGTACTTTTAGTTGCTAACTTTGGAAGTGTGGAAATGTGGAAATGTGGAAATATGTCTTCATTGTCTTAATTTATCTAATAACTCTGGAAGTGTGGAAATGTGGAAATATGTCTTCCTTGTCTTAATTTGTCTAATAACTCTGGAAGTGTGGAAATGTGGAAATGTGGAAATATGTCTTCATTGTCTTAATTTATCTAATAACTCTGGAAGTGTGGAAATGTGGAAATGTGGAAATATGTCTTCAATGTCTAAGTTGTCTAATAACTCTGGAAGTGTGGAAATGTGGAAATATGCCTTCCTTGTCTTTGTCTAATAACTCTGGAGGTCTGGAAGTGTGGAAATGTGGAAATATGTCTTCAGGGTCTTTATCTAATAACTCTGGAAGTGTGGAAATGTGGTAATATGTCTTCAATGTCTTTATCTGATTACTCTGGAAGTGTGGAAATGTGGAAATGTTCCTCCACTGTCTTTATCTGTTAACAACGGAAGTGTGGAAATGTGCAGAAATGTGTCTTCATTGTCTTTATCCAAAAACTCTGGAAGTGTGGAAAACTGGAAATCTGGAAATGTGTCTTGTTTGGTTTAATCTAATAACTCTGAAAGTGTGAAAATCTGGAAAGGCGTCTTGGATGATTTTGGAAATTATTAAAAATAGGACTCGCGTGCGGCGAAATTACTTGCGTTACTTCCGATTGCTGTCAATCGCAAGACAGACACATTGCTAGTTTCAGCTCACCGCCCGGCCGCATATTTTTGTAGTTGTTTGTTCGGGAGGAAAATGGACGCTACTGACTGTTGCGGGTTTGGCTTTTAAGAAATATGATTGGCAACCAAGTAAGCAGGAGGATTTGCTTCACTAAGGATTTTGAAGCTCTTTGCACTATCAACTTTTAAATAAACGCATAAAAAAGCGCAATCGTAGTTTGCTGTGACAAACGTACTTATGCAACCGAATCGATGAAATGCATCTCCCCTTGTAAAAATTTATTAGCGATCGCGCCGCGATCGCGCGGCGATGACCGCGATCGCGGAGCGATGGCAGCGATCGCGGCGCGATTGTGCATATCGCGGCGCGATTTAGATTAATCGCGCCCGCGATAGCGACGCGGTGATCGCGATCGCGGCGAGGTTATAGCGATCGCGGCGCGGTGATCGCGATGGCGATGCGATGATCGCGATCGCGACGCGGTGATCGCGATCGCGGCGCGATGATTTTGATCGCGACGCGGTGATCGCGATCGCGGCGCGATGATTTTGATCGCGGCGCGATATCAGCGATCGCGATGCAATTGAAGTAAATCGCGCTTGCAATAGCGACGCGATGATCGCGATCGCGGCGTAGTGATCGCGATCGCGGCGAAGTTATAGCGATCTCAACGTGATGATCGTGATCGCGGGAAGATGATCGCGATCGCGGCGCAATTTTGAAAAATCGTATCTGCGATCCCAAGGTCAGGATTGCGATGCTGGCGATGAAATCGCGATCGCGGCGAAGTTTTAACGATCTCAGAACGATGATCGTGATCGCAGGAAGAAGATTACGATCGCGGCGCGATTCAGAAAAATATTATCCGCGATCTCAGAGTCAGGATTGCGATCCTGGCGATGAAATCGCAATCGCAGCGGTATTGTACTTATCGCGGCGTGATGAACGTGATCGCGGGGAAGATAGAGCGATCGCGGCGAAGTTATAGCGATCTTAACGTGATGATCGTGATCGCGGGAAGATGATCGCGATCGCGGCGCAATTTTGAAAAGTCGTATCTGCGATCCCAAGGTTAGGATTGCGATGCTGGCGATGAAATTGCGATCGCGGCGGAGTTATAACGATCTCAGCCCGATGATCGTGATCGCAGGAAGAAGATTACGATCGCGGCGCGATTCAGAAAAAT